ATATATATATATATATATATACATATATACATATATATATATATACATATATATATATATACATATATATATATATACATATATATATATATACATATACATATATATACATATATATATATATACATATATGTATAGCACTGCACTGCACTGCTCTCATACAGTGTTTACACCCCCCCCTCCCCGGCTGTGTCATTACTATGGAAAGCGACAAGAGAAGCCTGGATGCGGATGAAGATGATGGATGAGAGAGAAGCTCATGTTAGAGGTGTGTTGGCTGCTGAAGAGTGACAGTTTTAGGCAGAACTCAAAGCTTTGACACAGACCGTGACCGAGTGCATTCATCGTAGTGAACAAGGAAACTGCATTTTGTAAATGTCGAGGCAATTACTACTGAAAAACATGCAAAGGCCTACGCTGTTGCTATGGTTACTGCAATAAATATTGGCTTAAAATGAGATGTTCTACAAAATAAAAGCTATACTGTCGGTGGCGGCGGTATTGTTGGTTACCTCTGCAGCTGTGCTATCTCCTGGCTGATGTCGTCCAGCTCCTTGATGCCAGTGAACTCCCCTGAACCCACAGAACTGGAGCTGTCCTGTAGAGAGAGAGAGAAACGGAGAGAGGGAAGACAAAAAAAAAAAAAAAAGGGTTGGCAAAGTGAACCTTATTTTGGTGGGAGAAGTGAAGTGGGATAATGAAATGGTACCAACGGAGCTATGGCAGAACCAGGCCGAAGGTGAGGAGGAGGAAGAAGAGGAGAAGAGAGGATAGGAGAGAAACCAGTGCTTGATAAGAGGAGCAGCACAGAGGTGGAGTCAGTGGGCGGGGGCGGGGTCAGTCACCAACATGTGGAGGGGGGAGGCGTCACCACCACTGACAAACTGCTCAGGAAAGGAAAGATTGTGTATTTTGCTATTTTATGTATCAATTTAAGCCCTCTGAGAATGTTGAAAAAGTTTTCATGAAGGTGGTTTTCAAAAAAGTTCCAGTATTTTGTCCACGCTTATTTGTTAGTGACATTAGCCCAACAATGTAGAGACAAAAAAAAAAACGTGCAAGCTATTCCCTTTATCGAACACAAACTGTTATGATTTTAAAAGATTATCGGTTGCTAACTACAAGCGAGCGATCTCGAATTTTCCCTTGATCAGCAGACAGTTGACAGGGTGAGAAAATGTCACTGCACTGGAATGGAGAGAAACGTCAAATGCTTTCCAGTAACCAGCCTGAACGGCCAGGTACTGAAAGCATTTCCAGTTGAATACAGCATAGGCCCATGTTACCTACCCACAACTTCAACATTAAGGCCTGAGAGAGGAGGAAGAGGGGGAAGTTAGACACATCAGCAGTAAGGAAAAGTTGGGATTAGAGAAGAACAGTGGGCGTAAATATCTTTGTGTTTTTCCTCCCCTTTGGGGTTCTTCCTGTTTTGTTGCATTACAACGTGGAATTTAAACGGATTGTTATTTGGATTGTAAGTGATGGACCTGCTCAAAATACTCAAAATTGGTGAAAGTGAAATGAAAAAAAAACTTCTTTAAAAAATACAATATATATGCATGCATCACAAAAAAAATTATCTTCACATATTACATAAAATAAAACTCCATTTAAATTATAAATCCATCAATTTGAATTTAAGATTAAAACTGTAAAAACACCAAGCGGGTGAACACATTAACAAAGCACTGTATAATTGATTCACCTCTCAATCTTTATATTTACATGTCTTTGTGGGTCACATTTTCAAGTCGTCTTCCACCAAATATGCAGATTTTTGCAGATTGGGAAATTGGTACAGCTCAAGGAACAGGACGTCTAGCAGACACATCTCAACAGCTTTATGCACAAATGTACCCAGAGCAGGAGAAACGTGAGAGAAGTATTGACTCACCCGTCTCATCTCAGACAGAGCCGCCATCTCTGATCCCACCGGGGTCATGTATCCTGACAAGCTCTGCAGCCAGAGAGAAATCACTTAGTCAATGACAATGATGATAAACTGTTTCCACTCACGCCAACAGAGACTGAACATTTTGAGACACAAAAATCCGCCAGCACAAAGCACGTTCCTTGTTCTTTTTCTGTGTTATCTAATATTAGTATTATGCATGCTGTGAAGACAAACATAATGGTCATACAACCATACTGACAACAAGAGAAAAAAGGTATATCAACACTTCTAAGGAGCCCTAGATGATAAGAGGGTAACTGGAGAAATGAAGCACCTTGCTGTCTTTATGCAGCTTTTTTTCCAAACTTCACAGGAAATACAAAAAAATCCAGGATTTTGAACTGTGATTTATAGCGGAGGGTGGATCACACTGTCTGAAATAAAGACCATAATACATTAACACACTGTGAAGAAGAGCAGAGGAGCTAGGGATGGGTATTGCTAGGATTTTATCGATACTAGTACTCTTATCGGTTCTTTTGGAGTATTTTGTGAGAAAAAGAGACTACAGCTAAACAATTAGCTCAGTGATTAGCTTTCATTTATTATCCAGTTCTTCTGATCAAACTCCATATGGCATCACCAACGTTACCTGAGTGGACGGCTGCTCTACAAACAGTAGAAAAGTGATCATTTCTGCAGATTGATGTTCTCTTGTTGGTCACATATTGTGATAAAATGCTGCTGTTTCCTCTCTTACTTGTGAGGGTTTTACTGTGTTTGAGACAACCAGAGTTCATAGTGTTACTATAGAATATATACAGTCCATCAGGCTGGATAAATGGTTGCATTTGGCAAACGCCAACCCGCTCTACCTCCTGAGCCCCATGTAATACATAGATACAGGCGTCCCACTCAGCTGTAGTAACCATGAAGTGTGTGTGAGGGACCTACAGGTACAGGAGTGCTTCTCTCTGAGGGGGGGATCATGTCGGTGGTCAGGGCCTGTGGGGGGTCCATGCCCTTGCTGACTTTCTGCTGGATGAAATACATGGCGAGGGCGAACTGCTCCCTGGTCAGCTTGCCTATCTGCCTGGTGTCTGCCAGAGCCCTGCAGGGAGGAGCAGACATTCAGCAGAGAAAAGAAGAAGAAATGAATCAAGCCTCCGCTCACCTCAAGAAATCATTTGCAAGAAATCAAATTAAAACATACAGACATTTTGTGGCTAAAATATATTGCACACCAAAAGTTTACCAACACTGTTGTTGACTTGTATTTGAATGAGTATCCTGAATGAGAGCAATCAAACTAAATCCACTCTATTCTAACTTGCTTGTTCAAAGTCACCTTAGACACATTTTTTGGTCCAATTTCCTGCCACATTTCCTCAATTTACTCCCCATAACATCTCTAAAAACAGATTGTTCCTTAATGATCAGAACACCAGACCCAAGAGAGACAGTTCTCCTGAGCTACTGAGCAACCCGGACGGCCTGTCTGCAGAAACTGAGCTGGAAGCAGTGAATCAAGCCGTTTGGGTTAAAGAAACATGGCCTGGCCTCTGTCATCTGAAGAACTGACACTGGTTAGCAGACTCATTTCCATTAAGCATTAAGGAAGAGTGAAATCTGTCAGAAACTCACAGGGTGTTACATTTGACCTCTGACCTGTTGAGAATCATACATCTTTTGTGAAGCATTTCTGACACTGGTAGATCTAAAAGGTACCACTTTCTAAAAAGGCACCCTTTACAACCAACAGCTTTATCAATGGTTAAATATTTTATAAGTTTTATAGATCTGTTGTAAGCCAACTTTTGGGTTGCCAGGTTGTGAAAATCCCCTTGAGTGACTAGACCAAATGGCCACTTACTTTCGGTATAGTGCAAATTTGTTCTCATTATTGGTTTATAACTGATGATTTATCACCCACTAATAAAGCCATTAGTCACAACTTATGAGCTCTAAATAAAGACTGACTTATTAGAGAGTGGTACCAATCCAATAATAAGCTTAGCCGAGAAATAAACAGCATGAACTGTCGAGCATGGACCATGGAACATGAGTTGGAGCCTACCATATGTGGGCCAGGAGGTTCTGAGAGAGTCCAGAGTGCATGAAGATCTCCTTCACTTCATGTCCGCTGACAAACCCGTCCAGATCAGCGTCGGTCTTCAGGAAGATGTCGTCATAGCGACTGCGGTCTGACACTGGGACCACCCAGTTCAGCGAATGCTGAGACAGAGGCAGAGGCATGCGTTTGGTGCTAGTGTTCTACAAAAGGTTACTTCTACAGAGAACTATTCCGTTACGAGTCAATGTGGTTCTTCTCAGGAGATCATTTCCCAGGTTATTATCACAACCCAGAGAAATAAACCTCCTAGAGAGCTCCCCTTCTTCAAGAAATCATTTTGTCTGGACTTTTTCAATAACTGTTAACACATTGTTTTTTACTTTGGATGTCAAAAAGGCCTGGTGAGCAATGAAGCAATTAATTTAATAGAAAATCAGTAAAACTAAGCCGAGGTACGAACCAAACCGTGACCTCCAGGTACTGTCGCACCCCTACTTTGTGTATAACCCTTCAGTGAGTAACCGGCTGTGGTCGGGTTTGTGCGCTCTATGCATGCTGGTGTCTGACCTCATCAACGATTTGAGAGGGAAGAACCTCCATACAATCAGAGTGCATCTGTACTACAAACAACTCCAACAGAGTGGTACGTCTTCTCTCTAGCAGGTTGCGTCAATTCAGAAGTTGCATTCTCCCGGTTCATTTTTTGTTTATATCATATCCATAATTTAAGTGTTAAACCAATATTTGATTTAGCAGCTTGTAAAAAATAAGGTGTATCAGATTTAGTTATTTCAATGTGTCAGATACACATTCAATAAACATAAGTACATAAAAGTATTATTGTGTTTTTACTGATTGAGGCGTAGCATGTCAGTGTAGTGTATTACCTGTCCAGACTTGAGTGTGTGTTTGGGCGACAGGCTGCCGGTGCTGTTGAGGGAGTTCATGCTGCCGTGGGAGGGTGTGGAGCGTAGCGAGTCTTTTGGTGGGGGGGGGCTTGCGGAGAGTCCGGGCATAGAGCCGGCCACCGAGCCCAGACTCTTCTTCCTCTTAGACGGAGGGATGAGGGCAGAGGGGAGGAGTGCGGGAACAGGCTCCTTCTCCAGGGCGCGGTACACCAGGTGCATGGCCTACGGGAGCACACTGCTGTTAATGCACACTCACTGGCTGCATATACTGTATAGCCTTTAGACAACAGAACATGTTCAGACACAAGTTCTAATATTGAGCACTGACACCAATCTAATATTTTATCTATCTGTATTTTGCCTATTGTTTCCTCTTCTTTAGTACATCTTCTTAGAGTTCCTGGAGTCATTGGGCTTTTCATGTCCTGCAACGCCGGACACCCTTGTGAAATGGTAAATGGACTTATACTTGTAAAGCACTTTTAGTCTTCCGACCACTCAAAGCACTTTTACGCTACATGTCATTCACCCATTCACACCCATTAATACACCTGCCCATCAGAACTAACTAATCCGCACACCCAATCACACCTTCGGGAGCAATTTGGGGGACAATTTGTCTTGCAAGGACACGTCGACATGGACTGGAGGAGCCGGGGATCAAACCACCGATCTTGTAAATTGAAGGCCGACCCGCTCTACCTTCTCAGCCATAGTCCAGGTGACAGTATCTCCAACACACAACCCGTCAAACCTCGACTTGTCTGAGCTACAGCAGCAGCAGACCACACTGTCTTGTTAGCCACTCTTGGTGACTAAGGACAGGAAACTGAAGGGGCAGTTTGCATAAACATGTCCTCGTCTGGCATATCTCAATGTCTGCTGACACAGGCAGACTGCAGCTTCAGAGTATGACGTCAACAACATGAATCCATGGAACCAGCCTGCCTTGTGTCAACGTTCAGGCTGGTGAACATGGTTTAAATGCCTATCTGTGATGCTGACCATATGAATCCCTTTAAGGCCACAGTCCACTCATCTTCTAATGGCTACTTCCAGCAGGATAACAGGCCATTGTACAAAGCCCAAGTCATGCCGAGCTGGTTCCACCAGCCTCGACAGTCACCTGATGTCAATCCATTAGACCACCTGTGGGACGTGGAGTGTGCAGCCAATGAATCTGCAGCAACTGTGTGACTCTATCATGTCAACATAGAGCAGAATCTCTAAGGGATGGATGCGACAATCCATGCCACAAACAAGACAGGATGTTCTGGGGGCAAAAGAGTGTGTGTGTGTGTGTGAGTGTGTGTGTGTGTGTGTGTGTGTGTGTGTGTGTGTGTGTGGGGGGGGGGGTCCTACCCAGTGTTCAGATGTTGTATGTAATAAGTTGGAAACAACAGAATGTCTATTTATTCAGTTATTTCAGGCTACCTAGAATCAAAAACACATATGGTAACAAGGAAGAAGATAACACACCACTGCAAACTCATCTCTGTCCAGATGGCCATCTTTATCGATGTCACTCAGGTCCCAAACCTAACAGCAAGAAATACACATGAGGACAGTCATAGAAATGAAAAGAGTGACTAAACTACTAGAGATTTTATTTCATTACCACAAACCCATGTTTGACAATCCATCGCTCAATATAACAGTTTTACCTGACACCATTTCATTCATGTCACTTCTTATTTATGTGAAACAGAACACATTTCTTTCTGACTTGAGTAGTATAATCTTCAATTATGGAACCAACAAGCCCAATATAAACCTAATACAAGCAACCAAACTTGAAGTCAATACCTTCCCGAGGACATCCAGAGGTAGCTTGGAGTTGATGAGGACTGGTTTGACCTTCTCTCCTGACAGCAGGCCATTGACTGGAGCCAAACTCTCAAAAATCCCATCAAATTTGCTCTTCTCCTCGTGCTACAAAGACAAACACACAGTAGTTATGTAAAAAGCCTGATTTGAAAATGTTAGACTGTCTGAGGCTGACTCGGTCTTTTGACCTGATGGAAGAGCTCAAGCTTATTCACAAACTGAATGGTTGACTCAACTGCAATCTGGGAGACCCAACAATACCGATATTTAAGAGATAAAAACATTTCATGTAGTGAGCGGGACATTTTACAGTGTAAAAAAATTAACTTGTTAGTGCTTTCTGCTGGAATAATACTAATATATCAGTGGAAAACTTAAATAATGTGTCAGTGCAGCTCTATGCAATCTCTATGTTTATATGCTGTCATCAAACGCTAATAAAATGGGGAGTGCATACATTCGTATTTTAATAAATAAAAAATATCAATGGCCCATGCCATCTGGAAATATCCAGTCAATACTGAAGTCAGTAATTGTTAAAATGGTCTTTTGGACTCTCAAAAATAAACAGAGCTTGGGAAATTGAATTTATTTCTCCCTAGTCCTTTCTAAGTCGATGAGAAACATCTCTAATGACGGCTTCATCCTACTGTGTGTGTGTGTGTGTGTGTGTGTGTGTGTGTGTGTGTGTGTGTGTGTGTGTGTGTGTGTGTGTGCGTGCTTAAACACACCCTGACAGCCCAGTGTAATTCTCCGGAGGCGGATGCTGTGCTGCTTAGAGACGGACTGCTGCTATCCTTCTGAAATCAGACAAACAAAGATGGCTGCCACAGAACTGCCACATCGCACACATATCTTCTCTCAGAATGAGCTTTTGATACAAAGTTTAATAACATTGTAACATAATGTAGTATAATTATATAAAGTATTATAAAAAATATCTCCAGCTTTGATATGAATTCCATGTAAATGTCAATATTCTGAAAAACAAAAATGTTACACAAAGAATTTGTGAATTTGAGCTTTCATGATGAAGTCCTACTCACAAACTTGGGGGGCGGGATCGTGAGGTTGAGGCTGGACAGACTAACTTCCTGACCGCTCTGGGCACAGGCCACCAGCCGCAGAGCTACGTAAAACCCCTGAGACAGAAAACACTCGGTGTCATTCTCTACGTGAGATAAGCAACGCTGACGTAGCACCACAAAGGCATGCATCTCCTGTCATACATTAACACCATTACTGAGGAACTAGAAGAAGAATATACAGGGCACTGTTTACATAAATATCTATCTTTGCCTGGAGAGGCTCATGTTTTCTGGTTTACCCTTTTGCAGTTCAAAAAGGCTTTGAACATTTTGGGGCATTATTACAACTGGGGTTAGCTCATAAGATCAACTTGTAGACATTTGGTTACTTTAAGTACTTTTGCATAATTGCAGCCACAGTAATTTCCCCTTTTCTCTGATAGTACACCCAGCACATCATCAAAGACAGAGAACTGTTCCAATCCCTACCTGTTTGTCCAGATAGCCTTTACCATCGGGATCGGCCAAATCCCAGATCTGAAACACACACAGCATTAAAGACTAAATGAGATCCAATAGTGGCCCTGTGTTTATTGATATTCTATCTGTTTTTAAGCTAAATATGTCCACAAATCATTTTTGAGTATTTTTATTTGAAAATGCCTCTTTTGTCAACAGTGACATCAGCAGATGTGTTGATGATGTGGCGATCACAAAGACAATAAAATCATTCCCCGATCAAAAAGCTTGAATAAATGGAGGGTTGAGGGCGCTTATCCAGAGCCAAAGAATAGCTGCCTTTAAGTCAGGTGACAAGGAAGCATATACGGCATCGCCAGGGCAGCCTGAAAGCTGGCATCAAGGAGGAAAAGTGGAGGCGTGAGGAGACCTCAACACCAACGACACTAAAAACATGTGGCAGGAGATCCACAATGTCAAAGGCTACAAAGGCAGGACATGTATACAGACAACCATTCAGATCTTTGGACTGTGGGAGGAAGACTGAGAAGCTGGAGAGACACAGGGACACAGGGAGAACATGCCAGCTCCACACAGAAGGGCCGTCCATCCTGGGATCCAACCCCTCTGGCTGTGAGGCGCAGTCTGCAGCCCCACGAAATACATTAAGAGTGGAAAAGGGTTAATCAATCAAAAAGTAAACTGGACAGAAGCACATGTTGTTATCGTTTCCTGGTTTTTGTGCTGTGCGTGTGCGTGTGGAATAGTAAGATGTCATGCTGACTTGGCTAATGAAGCTACTTAGTTTCAACCGTTTCCTGTGGAGCATTTATTTTTAAGCCCATTGACCGACAATGGTGAGGCACTCTTTAACCCATCTTTACACTGTTTGAGCAAATTAAATAAAAAGCGTTTTACAATTGTCTGAAAAAATCATGTCGGACTCTGACTTCCCACAGTTTTATCAATTTGACTGGAATTTTTCACAGATACAGCAGAAAATCTAAAGGCACTGGGCCCGTCATACAAAAGAATACAAACCAGACAAATGGCCAGATAATTAAGCAAAATGCTCTGATTATTTTTGCCAGAGATACCCATCTGATCCCTTTGATTAATGTCCCTGAAACATTTTAACTGACAAGCACATTTACCTTTACTCAAATAAAGCAAATTTATCCAAAAGGAGAGCAACAGGAAGAAAGTCTAATTGCAGTGCAAGTGGTATCTTGTTGAGTTTTTGACTGCTACTGGCGCTGTAAAGCAATATGTGTATCTCTCAAACCACAGCACCACACGAGCATAGGCGTACAGACGTCTCCTGACTGCAGAGGCAGGAATGGATATCTATGGAGGCAGTAATGCTCACTGATAGATTAGCGATTGAAAGAGAGGAAGACTGAAATCCAATGTAATCTATGTGGCAGAACTGCAATGATCAGTCAAGTAAACTATTTACATTTCCAGTTTCTCAGATGTGAAATTTTCCCATTAAATTATAGTAAGTTGAACATTTGTAGGTTGTGGCCATTTCTCACTATTTTCTTATGTTTTATAGGATCGAGAAAATAGTCTGCAAATTAATCTTTAATGAAAATAATCATTAGTTGCAGACCTACAATGTATGTTTCAACTACTACAGAGAGGCGTTGCAAGTGTTTCATGGAGGTAGGAAATGCATTTCACATGTTTACATCCAACTGGTATTAAATAGCTTTTTGTCTGCTAACATCTGTAGATCACTTCTCCTTTGAAAAAAATAATCAGAAACCAAAAGGGAGAAATACAATTCTATTCAGGTATCCATCTACATAGATGGTAAACTTGTTTCCATACAACCAATCAAATGGCTTCATTTCAAACTGTATTTGCATAAAGCAGTAAAGTCAGAGTCCTGTCATAAAATAATTAGATTTAAATTATAAAATTGTGCTGCATCATCAAAAAGTGCATATCTACAAATGGGGAGCAGTATTACAAGCATATTGTGTCCATTACTCCCTGGCTTCTGAGAGTACAAATGGTAGCATACATTGGCGTAACTGCTGTTGGGATTATGAGCCGGTCTTTGGCATATTTCCTCCGCTGTAAGGGGTCCCTGGCCCCAAAGAAGTTTGAGAACCCCAGTGCTACAAAACATAAGAGCCGCATACACATAAGTGGATGTTATTCCATTCATTATTTCTAAACGGGACAGATGGTCTCGGATCAGTTCTCTCTGCTGAATGTCATTTTATTTAAGTTATTAGACAAAACTTCCTGAAAAAGTAACAACCAGTTATCTGGTTCTTTGTCAGTTCAATCAATTTGCACATTCATTTGTGATGTTGACAGGTTAGTCGAAGCTTTCACCCAAAACGCAAACTGTCTGTGCTTCGCCAAGGTCTCTAAAAGTGATGCAAAAATATCACTGATGCAACAGATATCAAAAAAATATTTATCTCGATGTGCACGGTTCACTGTCCATATTTTTTACATGTTAAAAAGTGGTTGCCACTGATGACAAACCAAGGCCAAGATTGCAAATTTCTAAAAATGGTTGCCAATGGTAACGTGGCAACTGGTGGTGTAACGGATTGTTGTTGATCCGTACAGACCCCCCCCCTCACAGTTCAGCACATGTGAACCGTGGATTAATTACAGTTTGACGTTAACCATCACAGTGTGAAATTAAGTTTTACTGACATCGTTATCCGTCAATATTCAGTAAAATATGCGATCAGGACTTCATTGATGCTTTCTAGTCACCGATCTGATAATGTTACATTGTAAACAACCACCCTGTGTTTAAAATGACCGGAGGAGAGCTGGTCAAGTAGCTAATGGAGAACAAACCAAGGTTACATTCACTTACATTATGATGCGTTCAGGCTCTGTTCAGTGAAAATGAGTATTGAGTGAAGGTAAATTATAACGTTATCATGATGTGTTCACATGTGATCTCGTAAAATGTAGTGTTGGTGAGAAACTTGAGAGATGGTTTTACAACAACATAAATATATATTAGAGATGAATTATGACCTGTTTACACTAGCTCTAAGCAGATTATTATACATCATTAAAACTACTAATGACAAGATTTGTTTTTATAAATGAAAATACAATCTTTTATTTCTTAATAATCATAGGAATTGTGTTTCTTTATGAATAAAACCCGATAAATTACTTTAACAAAGTAAAAGGACAACGTTTTTGAATGTGTGATGGTTTACAGACTTCAGAGCGGTCGAAATGATGTTTGGGACGGTGGCAAAAAAGCCTGGAGCCTTGTAGACCAGCTGCTATAATCAAACAACAAAGGGATCATCAATGATCTGCAAGTAGTATCAGCGGCAAAAAAAACATGATCAGGGATCTCTAAAAGTTATATTTGCTCCCTTTGATCTGTGACTCTGATCCGCGATACGATATGGACCATGAGTGTTCTGATCCGATGCACCACTAGTGGCAACCTGATGCACTGATGCAGATGTGAAAACTGAACCACTTTTGATTGGATTTCTGCACAAATCTATGCTTACATACTGCATGTATCATTTTACACTAACACACCAATAGGTCACTGTGTAACAAAGTCACACTATACGGTCAGTGTTATCTGTGCAGTTGCTTTGGTCCTGATTCTGTGTTATCTACTCATTTATCTGACTGTCCCTGGTTAGATTTAAAAGCCTAACCAGTAAAGGTCGACCAGAGTGGATTTTTTAAAGGCTGATATAATAACGATAGTTTGGAGCAGGAAAAGAACAAGAAGGTCAATTAATAGGCTGAGTGGCCGGGTCCGGACCGAATTTAGTGTGAAAAAACACGGGCCCCTCATTGATTTGAATGAGGCCAGTCTGGCTGGGCAGCAGTGGGTAACAAGCAGAGGAAGACGGCTATTAAAAAATAAATTGATAACAAGATGATTTGCACCAGAGTCAGGTTGGCTAAAGAACTTTCTTAGCAAAATCCTGGACCTTTAACTTCACTTATTGCAGTTTTCTACCATTTTAAAGCTGCAATAACTGACTATTTTGCCACTTGGGGCAACAAAACAAGCTGTAAAACACAAACTCAAGTTGATCCATCATTCATGTAATAATACTGATGCAGCTTCAAATCATCGCTTACGATTACAAATCACTCAGCGTTCAAAAAATATGATTAGTCTGATGCAATTTAAGGCCTGCAAATAAATCAGAGATGAGCTCTGTAAAAACAACACACAGCCCTTTTGGGCAGCACACTGGCCCACTTAAAATCCACAAACTGCTGTATGAAACAAACACACCTCTCCAGCTCTATGTGAAATAACAAACCATCATCAGCCAATAACTTTTGCCACTACCTACCTTTCCCAATGTGATGTCAGGGAGTCCAGACTTCTTTAAGAACAAGGCAGCTTCCGTTGGTCCCACTCTCCCTGTATTCCCAGGGTCCACCTTGGAACAAACACACACACACAGTTAAAAATGTATTAGAATATTTGCATCATTCATGCTTCCATCTCGTAATTACCAATAAAGGAACGTACCTGTCTGTAATAGTTCTCATATACAGGGTTCCCACTCGACAGCTGTGGCAGAGAGAGAATGTCATTGCACTAGAAATCATCCCCCATGCACTTCTCTCCACTAGTGAGGTTCCTTCTAGAAGCACTGAGAGCATGTTAGCTTAAAATAACCCGCCTCGTTCACCAAAACACTGACTCAAACGTCTAGCCAAGCCTAACGTTATAGTTCTTATTCAAATACTCCTTTAACGCTAATGTCGGTTCTGCTGAAAGCGTCCAGCCCCACAGTTCATTAGAAGGCATCACAACACAGCTGCATTACCATGTTATGTGACTGTTGCGCAACCACAGATGACAAGAATCGCTACCGTGGCTGCTCTACAGCCTCAACATTAACGTGGGTCTCCGGTGAACATGGAGACTAGCGAGCCAACTAACTGCAGCGGCATTAATCGAGGCTTAGCCCGGGTTAGCTGGGGTTAGCCTACTGTATAGCCTGCCTTCTAGCCTCACGAGCAGAGACTGTGTATAAGAAGCTCACGAGCGTGTTTATCTCCATCCTCACACTGCTTGCGTATCAAGGCTATGCTAGCTAAGGGTTTGCTAGCGAAAGGACTGAGCGTTATAATAGTTTACAGTGCTTTCTTAAATATACGCGCGCGTGCCAGCCTGTCCCTAACGTTGCATACAGTGTACACGGTGCTTGTTAAGTTTAAATGTATAATAAATGCGTTAATTGTATGTTACGTTGTATGTAAATAGCTACACGGCTAGCTTTCCTCTAGCTGAGGCTAACAAGCCCGCTACCTAACGGTACTTCAAATAGGCCTTAATCGACCGGCTGACTGCCTTATTTCTAGCTGCATTTCAAAGCGAGTTCGTGTTGCGTTCAAACTCATATACAAATCACAATGTCACGTTTAAGGCACACTGTACCGTGCTATTAAATAGCTGAGCCTTGAGGTGAAGTGTGGAGTCGTAAATCGCTGCATCTTTACCTGGGTGAAAGATGTGAGAGCTGCCATCTTCCCTGTTGCTGCGGGAACGCGCCCTCTCTCTCTCTCTCTCTCTCTCTCTCACCCTCCCTCTCTCGCCAAGGCAACACTCCCCTTAGCGGACAAACCCATGCCTCACAATACGGGAACAGAATGCTGTCGAAACTCCTCTCAATGACTTGTTGTTGTTCTGCAAAATTATGAATTTCTTCAAACAAAAAACGTGACTTTTGTTTTATCGTCAGGGAAAGCTTTTTAATTCGGCAGATATAGTTGCACACAAACAATCACGCAATCGCAGCTTAAATTGGTTTACATTTCCTTTATGTTGTGCTGGAACCACATTGGGGTCTGTAGAGTCACAAATCCATGTCTGGCGCTGATGTGTGGTGGCTGTATACCGACTCTCCCGCATAAATCGTGCAGTTAAATTATGTTAAATAATAATATGATATAATAATAATAAATAGAATAAATACAAATTGTTTTTATAAAGTTGCAAGAGTTGTCAAGAAAGGAGGATAATTTGTAGAATTAACTTCAAAAAACGTTTATTCATAGCTTGTACTTCTGCTGTGAAGATGTGTGATGTTTATGATACACACTGTTGCATGTAAACTAATATAGCAGTAAACCAGACCCTATTTCTTACTTAAACTAACCGTATATGTGTGAAATATGTGAGGTTTGCATTCACTTAGATCAGTCATGATAAAACACCACAATTTATCACCCACTTTCTAAAAGCCATTTATTTTTATACAATGCTTTAACAAAAGTTTTTCACAACAATTCCGCAAAACCTTAACTGGTGTTTTTAAAGTTGTAATATATGTTTTTTATAAATCCAAAAGAACAAATGGGTAAAATACCAGAGCAACACCAGACTGGTGGTTTCATCATTCCAACCCGCTGCCATGCTATAAATAGCTCCGTAACACATGCATGCAACCAAATGCAACATGCAACAGCTAAAGAACAGCATTTATCACAGTAAAGTGCCCTTTCTCACCCCTAAGTGTGTATACCACATTTACATTATAATACAAAACTTCCAGTCAGTTCCAGTTCAAACACAATAAAGAGAAGTAAAAGAAGAGACAGCAAAGTACATGCTAAAAGCTGAAAAATATATATATATTTGGCTTCAAGCACTTATTCAAATTACCTTTAAACCACCTTAAATAATCATCAATAATTTAAACAGTAATGGTGATCATCACCGATCCTTTGACACTGGTCTGTGAAATATCCAAAAACACTTTATTGTAAACTATAACTCCATCAGTGAAATGAAAAGCGTTCAAGTCTTTGACAATCATAAGGCATGAAGGAGCAGCGGCTCCAAGTCTGACTGCTTTAAGATGCATAGAAGATGCGACCAATGGAACAGAAACGGATCGTCTGAAAGTAGCAAGTGTTTCATCATTCAAGCTCATGAAATATTAAGAAAGAACACAACTTTGATTTTTTTTAAAGTCAAATATTTAGCTGACAAAGCATGCTATGTGGCACTTCAAATTCTTTCATCTGCAGAATAACCCAACAGACAAGCCCTCCAGAGTGAAAGACCATGAGAACTTGAGTCCTCTACAAAACACAACACCACAGCACACAGAACCTTGACAAGAGATCAGAATACCTGATGTGTGACTGCACAACCAACTCATTGGATGTTCAAAAAAGAGTGCAAGGTGTTTTTGACCAAACGTATTTGCGTTTGGAAGCCCATTTCTGCCATTTATTTTTTAAAGATCAACAAATAACTTGAGAATAATAAAAATAAATATATACTCGAGGTGAGTCACACATAATGAAATAAAATACTTTCTTTTCTGTCTAAGTAAAAATGATTAAACACTACATCAAATGTTTGGTTTTGCCTTACTCATATTAAAGCAAAACAAGACCCAAAGTGAAATACTGACTTAAGTCAAAATCAACATATACCAAACAACTTTTTCTTTCTTTTTTGGTTTTCAGGAGACACCCTACTATAGGTTAAAAAAAATGTAACTAATACAAAACATTCCCAGTTAATTACTTGCATTAAGGTAGTTCTTTTTTTGTATTAAAAGTTTTCTGAAATGTTTAAAGTTGAAATATGCAAATTGTTATGCAAATTATCTAATCAAATATTTGCTAATTTTCATACATTTCCAGAACACAAATCAGAACATTAATTACATTAAGGCAGGTTCAACGTTCTTGTTTCATTTTGTTGACATATTAGAGACAAAGGCTTTGACAGAGAGAATTATAGATATCTCTTTGTTTCACCTTATAGATAAGGAAATACTGTCAACAGTCTAAAAAATACATTTTCTCCATCTTTTTAGAAATAGAATGTTGTATGAATCAGGCTATGAATGCTATACAAACAAACCCCTCTGTAAAAACAGAAGAATGAAACGTTTGGTGTGTGCAAGTGCTGGTGAAGTGGAGATTTCTGGCTCATTAAGAGAAAATGGCCTTTTGACACTTAACTTCAACAAACAACCAAAAGACTTCACCATGAAACTTCCCAGTTGATTATTTCTTTGAATTACAAGTTGTCTGAAGTGAATATGGAAATTAGGAATTATCTAATGATAACTTTTGGTACATTGAGGAGAAATCTGCAGACACAAATAGACAAAGTGGTAAAATATTTGTTTTCTTTCCACAAGTCTGAAAGAAGACATGTTGTGGAAGCATATAGTCCAAAATATCTAAATTTACCAGTGCATGTAAAAGCAATGTTTTTTCATGGGGTAAGTAAAAAATAATGACAGGAAGATAAAAAAAACAAGATAGTACATCAAAATGACCGAACCCTGAAAAGTCAAAAATAGGAGATATTATCTTAACATTTTGACTTTGCATTATGGCAGGAATGGGCGGCAAACATTCAAATACTCCAGCAGCGTATTCAGTACTCTTGCAGATGACATTTCCCTCGGATAGAACCACACAGAAACACATCTGCATGGTTAATGAAATGTAAAAACACCACCAGGTTTTGTGTTAGCTCAGCGGTTTACATTTTTTTTACCAAGGATAAAAGAAGCAGAATAGCTGAAATGATCCGACCTGAACTTTAATATAAAGCAATGCTAGCTCTCAAACAGCAAAGTCAACATTTTGCATCACATTTTTCGGGTGAACCTAACATGGAGGGGTTTGTCATGTATTTATACACGACAGATACATTCTGGAGCGTACACACTGTGTGTGTGTGTGTGTGTGTGCAATCTATGAGTTCAACACATGTTCTGCAGGCAGCGTGGGTGAGCTGACTGCAGAGGAAACCCTCTAAACCAAAGCCCGTTGGCCTGTAAATATGGAAGCCCATTGCCGCTTTTGAAGAAAAAATAAAAATACAATTTAAATTTTTCATCTCAGAATTTACTTTTTCCTCTGATAATTACAAAATTTTAATCTCGTAATTATAATTATTACTTCTTACGTCATAAATGTGACATTTTTGATTTCTTATCTTAAATCTATGACTTTTTATCTCACAATTTTGACTTTGTATCTCAGAAGTATGAGTTACCATGGGATATATTTTTATTATCAAAGCTAGGTTTTCATCTAATTTTCTTTCTTTTTTTTTTACTGGCGGACATGGGCTTCCTTATGTAAAAGTGATGCAGACCGTTGGCGTCGTTTCCTGGCGGGACTTCTCTCGGCGTGATCACTCGGCACAAGCGGCGGCGGTAATGGTAGCAGCAGTGAGGAGCAGCTCGGCCCGAGCTGCTGTGACGATCATCACGGCTGTATGGAGGGGAGGCAACGCAGCGAACTTCTGAACGGCACGTCATCGTCCTCACCCACAGCATCAGACGCACAGTCCCACGGTGTGAAAAACAGTTGTCCTCTCTTGTTCCTCCCCCGGTGGACCTCGTGTAGTCACCTGCTCTGCGGCCCTCTGGTGAGCGGCGACGCGTCAGGTGATGCTTGGCTACTCGTCGTCCCATGATTGCTGTAGCAGGAAGTTAGCGGCTAGATTCTCGTTCTTCTCGCAGGCGAAGTAGGCCTGGATGACTAAGCCTTCAGGGAAGCCCAGCGCTTTTAACTGGAACACAACGCACATGTTCATGTTACACACACACACACACACACACACTTGTGTCTGAGACAGTTAAGGCCTTTACACACCAGGGGCAAGATGAATAAACAAAACAAAATTTTGCAATGCAAATATTCCGCATCAAAACTATTCATACTTTTTTTCTAGTGCTGGGCAAGTTAACGCGTTATTATCGCATTAACGCATTCATTAATTAACGCCGACAATTATTTTATAGCGCGTTAACGCATTTTTTTTATTTTGAAAGTCCGTGGAGGAAGTCTTCAGCAGACTACGTTGATGCAGCGTGTGGATACAAACTGCAGCCGGTTAGAATACACAGCGTTACAACGTGCACCAGCTGTTGCTCTCCGTGGAGACTACTGGACATCGCTGCGATCAACTCAGCAGACACTTACATGTTAGTGCACCTATATGCTGAAATTCACGGTGAACGCATTTAAACGGCACAGGTCGGGAGCGAGCGAAGGAAAGTTGAAAGTTAGCGGAAAGATTAACGTGAGACAACATCCGGTTTCTTCAGACGAACATCCGGTTTTCAGAATAAGATGCCAAGTATGAATTATATTTACATTTAGTATAAAACATGCTGCATCTTGTGAGTTAAAGGGAAAATATACATATGATATAAGAATGATATAATATAAGAAATATGATCGCTACTGTGTAAAGGGAATACTGCTGTTAAAAATAACCTTATTTGTTTTAATAAGTGTTTGCAAACCAAATGTTATTGCCCTTTTGTTCATATAGCAGTACTTTTAAATAAAATGCGCAATACACTACTTTTGAATTCATTATTGAACTTTGCCATAACAATGCGATTAATCGCAAAAAATCCATGCGATTAATCGCGATTAAATATTCTAATCGTTGCCCAGCACTATTTTTTTCATAAAAAGGTTTGAATATATTTGCACAGGCAGAAGACCAAATACCAGGATCCTATTGACAGCTTCTGGCACTCTGTCTGAGGTAAACAGTTGTATAACCTAAAGCTACTGTAAA